AGGGGCCCCGGGCCCGGCGGCAGGAAGGGGGCGGGCAGTAGGCGGGCGGGAATCGGGCCCCCCGAGAAACCCCCCCCTCGACCAGCAGCGCCCGCGGCCCGGCGCCGGCTGCACCCGCATCAGCTGACCCAGCCCCGCCCTTCCTGCGGCTCCCGTGGCCAGCGGCTGGGGGCGGGGCCTGGGGGCGGGGCCAAGTGACCCCCCCCTCCCCGGACACGCCCCCGGCCGGCTGATGGGCCCTGCCCGCCCCGGCGCCCCCAAACACCTGCCCCGCCCCCTATGCACCCCTCCCCCTGCACCCCAAATCCCCACCGCCAGATCTCCTCCTCTGTGCCCCAAACACCCACCCTGCTCCCTATGCACCCCTCCCCCTGCATCCCAAATCCCCACCCCCAGATCTCCTCCTCTGTGCCCCCAAACACCCTCCCTGCCCCCTATGCACCCCTCCCCCTGCACCCCAAATGCCCACCGCCAGATCTCCTCTTCTGCGCCCCCAAACACCCACCCTGCCCCCTATGCACTCCTCCCCCTGCACCCCAAATGCCCACCGCCATATCGCCTCTTCTGCGCCCCAAACACCCGCCCTGCCCCCTATGCACCCCTCCCCTGCACCCCAAATCCCCACCGCCAGATCTCCTCTTCTGCGCCCCAAACACCCTCCCTGCCCCCTATGCACCCCTCCCCCTGCACCCCAAATCCCCACCCCGACTCCCTCCCTGCCCCTCTGCACCCCACCCCCTGCACCCCAAATCTCCACCCCTAGACCTCCTCCCCTGGATTGGAAGCCCCCCAGGCTGTGCCCTACAGATGGTCAGGTCCACCCCTCCCAGAGATGGGGTCACCTCCCACTCTGCCCTCTTGCCGCCCAGGAAATGGGTTCCCCCTTCCCCATCCCCCCAGATACCCCCCTTCATCAGCCCCCACGAACGATGGCTCCCCCGACTCCCACACACACACCCAGCCCATTCCCTGTGTCGGGGGGGGGTGGTCGTGTGCTGGAGTTGTCCATCTGTCTGTCTGTGGCGCGTTCCTCCACCCGGGAAGGACATTCCAGCCTTGCCTCCCGCCCGCCCCCCCACAGCGCCACAAGCACCCCATTGTTCTCCTGCCCCCGAGGGAGCGACCACAGCTGCTCACTCCCCTCCCAGAGCCGGGGAGAGAACCCAGGAGTCCTGGCTCCCAGCCCCCTCTGCTCTGACCCACCAGACCCCACTCCCCTCCCAGAGCCGGGGAGAGAACCCAGGAGTCCTGGCTCCCAGCCCCCTGCTCTAACCACTAGACCCCACTCCCCTCCCAGAGCTGGGAGAGAACCCAGGAGTCCTGGCTCCCAGCGTTCCCTGCTCTAACCATAAGACCCCACTCCCCTCCAGAGCCGGGGAGAGAACCCAGGAGCCCTGCCTTCTTGTAGAAATGACACACAAACACACACAGCGATTAGTAACCATCTCTTTCTACACTTGCTCTGCATAAATGATATTTGCACAAGGCAGCGGATTAGAAAAATCTCTGGTCACAACCCGAGCGCATTAAATATCGAGACTGACAGCCTCTGAGTCATTGTCGTAAGAAGGGTTAGTAATGGGGCATGTTCCCTGTGTAGATAAATAGACTTTTGATCGTATAATAACCCAAGGTGCACTGGGCACATTGAGCAGATAATGTAGGAAAATATTCTGCCCCCTGCTGGAGGGGGATGAGCCCTGCTCTGCGTGTGTGACAGACTCTAGAACCTCAAAAGTTAAGAGGATGCTTCATGGAAGGCGAGTAGGGCCTAGTAGGTTAGAGCAGCGGAGAGGGCTGGGCATCAGGACTCCTGGGTTCTGTGCTCTGCCACTGTGTGACCTTGGTCAAGTCCCTTCACCTCTCCGTGCGTCAGATTGCCCCATGTGAAGTGGGGATAAGGTTAGGAACTCAGTTTACAGGGGTTGGGTTGAGGGGGTTAATCAGTGTTATTAAAGTGCTAATCAAGTGGAAGGTGCTGGCTAAGGGTCAGTGCTGAGGGTTATTACATAGCCTCTTTTCTCTTGGCTTCTCTAGTGTTCTAGCCAGCCACCTTTTGTGCCTTGTATTGAGTCACCTAGAACCTCTCCACCAAACCTGAAGCAGATATTTTTACAGATGCCCTGTTCTGCACCTTCTGTCAGCACATAATACATGTTAGTCCTGAGTTCTCATCTGAAAAAAGCAGATGAGCAATGCGTCGTGGTAGCTAGAGATCCACAGGCAAGGGAGTGACGAGTGGGTTAATCTAGAACAGGATGTAGGGTGATCTAGAACTGACAATTGGCTGACACCAAACCTGCCATTGGGAAGTATAGAGGGGTAGGCGAGCAATGAAGAGTCCACCTGAAGTGAATTCTGTGATCTAGAACTCCAAACAGGATATGATGTAGGACCACATCTTTATCAACACGGTGCATCCACTTGGAGTGAATGGTGTAGCCAAGAACACCAGCTATGATCACACACCATAACTGTTACTGCCATAGAGAATCCACCTGGCCAATTTAGAAAGGGACGTCTGGGTATCCCTGTACTTCCAGTATCCTAACCTAGAACACTCAATTGGCTCACATGGAACATTCATTCGGCTAATCAGCACCATCCAGTTTGTCAAGCCATGGTGAGAAGGGTTGGATAACCTGGTAGGATAACCTAGAACCCTAGTTTGTTCAATATGGAGTATCCAGTTGAATAGAGTTGGACAACCTAGATTATGCAGTAGGATAATAGGGAACTCGTGGTTGGTCAATACTGCATATCCCAGAGGTGGGCAAACAACGCCCCGTGGGCCACATCCGTCCCAAGGGACCCTCCTGCCTGGCCCCTGAGCTCCTGGCTGGGGAGGCTAGCCCCCGGCTTCTCCCTTGCTGTTTCCCCTCCCCCGCAGCCTGAGCTCACTGCACCGCCGGCGCAGTGCTCTGGGCGGCGGGGCTGCAGAGCCGGGGCCTGACCCGGTGCTCTGTGCTACGCGGTGGCGTGGCTGGCTCCAGCCAGGCGGCGCAGCTGCCTGTCCTGGTGCTCTGGGCGGCGCGGCTGTAGCGCTGCCAGCCACCGGAGCTCCAGGCAGCGTGGTAAGGTGGCAGGGAACGGGGGGGTTGGATAGAGGGCAGGGGAGTTTGGGGTGGTGGTCAGGGGGTGGGGGGTGTGGATAGGGGTTGGGGCAGTCAGAGGGCAGAGAACAGGGAGGTTGAATGGGGGCAGGGGTCCCGGGGGAGCAGTCAGGAAGGAGACAGGGGGTTGGATGGGGCGGCGGGGGGCAGTCAGGGGCAGGGGTTCCGGAGTGGTCAGGGGACAGGAAACAGGGGGAGGTAGATGGGGCAGGGGTCCCGGGTGGGCCCGTCAGGGGACAGGGAATGGGGGGGTTGGATGGGGCGGCGGGGGGCAGTCAGGGGCAGGGGTTCCGGAGTGGTCAGGGGACAGGAAACAGGGGGAGGTAGATGGGGCAGGGGTCCCGGGTGGGCCCGTCAGGGGACAGGGAATGGGGGGGTTGGATGGGGCAGGAGTCCCGGGGTGGGGCATCAGGGGGAGAGAAGCAGGGGGGGTTGGATAGGGGGCGGGGGCCATTCCATGCCTGGCTGTTTGGGGAGGCACAGCCGCCCCTAACCGGCCCTCCATACAATTTTGGAAACCTGATGTGGCCCTCAGGCCAAAAAGTTTGCCCGCCCCTGGCATATCGAGTAGTATAAAGCTGGCTAATATAGATCACTCAGTAGGATAATCTAGAACTCTAGTCCAGCCAATATGGAGTATACAGCTGGTTACAGTTAGCCAACAGATTGTGCAGTAAGAGAACCTAGCACCCGTAGGCAGCTACTACAGGTTACCCAGTCAGATAGGATTGGGCAACCTAGAACAGCCAATGGCTGGACCCTTGCTTGTTCAACGTGCAGCATTAAACCTAGGAGGCTGAGTACCTAGAATGGCTCTGTTGACCCACCTAGAACATCAACTTGGGCAATTGAGGGGGAAAGGTTTTGGAAACCTGGAACTTGCAGGAAATCCTCTGGACAGACTCTCTAGTTGAGTGACCTAGAACATCCTGTTGAGTGACCTTGCAGCTAGTTACCCAAAGACTACTCTCATTGGCACCTCAGTAACCAGATGGTTTGGCCGCTTCCTTTGTTTGGTGCTGGTGTCGTGTATCCACTCCTGACCCCTCTTCCTCTCCACCCCCTAAAACAGGGGTGGGCAAAGTTTTTGACCCGAGGGCCACATCGGGGTTACGCAACTGTATGGAGGGCCAGGTAGGGAAGGTTGTGCCTCCCCAAACAGCCTGGCTCCCGCCCCCTCCCACTTCCCACCCCTTGACTGCCCCCCTCAGAACTCCCAACCCATCAACCCCCCTGCTCCCTGTCCCCTGACTGCCTTGACCCCTATCCACACTTCCGCCCCCTGACAGCCCCCCCAGGACTCCCACCCCCTATCCAACTGCCCTCTGCTCCTCGTCCCCTGACTGCCCCCTCCTGGGACCCCCCGCCCAT